CCGAACGAACAAAACGTTGAATCGTGGTCAGACCCTCCGCCTTACACCCCTGACAAAGGGTGGTGGGTGCAAACCAGAAAAAGCCGACGAACACCGAACTATACAAATAAATATTAACTAGGTTAGTCTCAAAATGACCCAGTTAAGTTTGGACGAGATGTAAAACAACATTCCAGTTTTAATTATCTAATTTGTTTTGTTCTTTTACTTTTTTTCAAGGAGACAGAACTTTCAGTTTTTTTCTTGGAGCGATAGATAAAACGATCAAAATGAATTTATACATCTCGATGGCACAGCGATTGATTGGATCGGTGAAGCACCTTCGCCGGGTAATCAAGAATGTGTCCGGTTTAATCGGCCAAGATCAGAATGGATGAGACCTATTGTTACAGTATTTATAAGTTTGTTTGCGAAAAAGATGTCACAGTAACACCAACTGAACTGTAATAAATAATTTAACTTGGCCATAATTATTATTGTAATAAATATTGTCCATTATTATTTTGACTAATTTAACTGTTTTACTCAATCGTCAAGATAATATACTTAAAAAAAACCAAAAGTAAACGTCAGTTCCATTTAAAAAAAAAAACCAAAAACGTCAGTACAATTTCAAAATTAGCGAGGCACTTTAATCAAAGAATTTTTTTGTGAACGGTATGTTGACACATTAGTGATTAATTCAGCACTATTCCAAGACATCACGAGAAGATTTAGAGTCTGTACACAGTCTATACATCACTATCTGATGTGTCCACCTCGAGTGTCAATAACAGCAGGGCCGCGTCTGTACATGATGTGGACCAGACGATTGATGAACGCCATTGGCACCTGGAACCACACTCTCAGAAAAGCCTGGCGCAATCCATCGGCAGTGTTTTGTCGAAAAGTTGAGACGCGAGGATTTGCGGGACAAGGATTTTCAAACTCAAGAAGTTAAGGATAAAGGTGAAACAGGTTGCGATTGCCAAAGGAAGTATAAAAAAAAACGAAACGAAATATAGATCTGTATTTTAATCAGATATCCATTTTTGTAATATATTTTTTCTATATTTAACAAGTCGTGTTTATAATTATATTAGTAGTAGTATGTGGCATTCGTGGGGCACGGTATGCTAACTCTTATATAAACACCTTATGTTATATTTACTCCTTCGGTATTATATTTACGGACTTCTGATTCGCGGTGGTTCCGTGAGTAAGGTCTTGGCTCGATAGCCTGGTCTCAATGTTGGCCGCAATGTTTCCCGGCGTGGCTCCCCCTTGTCAGTGGTGCAGGACGGGGATGGGGTGGACCCCCCCCCCCCTTGTCAATTGTGCAGGGCAGAGGGAGGGCGGATGGGTTGATAAGAAAAAGCGACTAGTCGTTAGTCGTGGAATGAAAACCTGAGGTCCTGTATAGACGTAATAACGCTGTCCAAGCAAAATGTCCCTCATGGTGATTCATAGCCCACTGTAAGGGGTACCTCCGTCATCATTAGCCCAGTCGGTGCATTCAATAGGACGCCAAACTCCATTTCATTACATTTATACCTTAGGATCGATTTGCCAGGTTGTTTGGGTTTTTCTTTCAGTCATTAAACGAGTTGTATGCCATTACATTATCTCAAAGTTTTAATAAACAGCAGCCCTATATTAAAGATGCATTATCAGCTTATTGTAGGTCTTTATTTTCGCCCCAAATATAAAATGAATTATTAATTTGACATTTGTACCCTTGACATGCCCATAATCAACTCTCTAGATCAACGGGTGGTCAAGATTTTTAATGGATTGAAACACGATCGACATAATTCAATTTAAAAAATGGATAATCTAGATTTTGTTGATTATCGTAACAATGGTAGTAATAAAAAGTGAGTTTATGATATTCTTATCAAAACTTATAACATTCATAACTTCGCTCAGAATGAAGTATTTTGGCTGAAATTTTCAATGTGTATATTTTTCATTATCTTTGTTTGAACTGTTATATCAAGAACGGCCTGCCCTTGAAATTTTCAGGGCACCTAGGTACCAACGTGAAATGTTCCTAGACGGAATTTGGTAGTCATGGTACCTTTGGTTCCAGCATGGCGCAAGCGCGAAGTCAAAAGAAGTTGCGGTGGATTTTTCGTGGATTTCGGAGTGGTTTGGTGACGTCGGGTGGGTACGTGAGGTTGGGCGGATCTAAGATAGCGGCCACAATACATGAACAAGCGTTCATGAATTTTCGGACCGGGGTTGATTTTCACTGCATAGGCATCGTTCCGGTGGTACGGTTACCTTCAAATTTGCACAGAATGTACCTTGGGATTCTAGCTATCACATATTAAAAATAGAAGAGTATGGAATTCCGAGAACGTTGAATATAAATTCGAAGCACACCCCCAGCCATCAATGTTTTTTTTTTGATTAAAAAATTGCCGTATTTGATCGATTTTTTATTGTTCTTGATATCTGAGCATTTTCTCCTTTTAATATGTGATAAATATCAACGCGGCGCAGCCAACCGCTAGAAATTCCAGAGATTTTGACCAACGGAAGGGTGTCTCAGCAGTCAAATAAGGTCTAAATAGGCGATTTCGGATTTTAGTGTCGCAAACATCGTTGCGGTCATTTTAAAAAATTGTCTTTTAAGGATAATGTGTATAGTACTAATACCTATCACATACGGAAGAGGCGATAAAATCCCTTTGCATTTGAAATTTCAAAATTAATTAAAACTAATATTAAATTCCGAAAATTGTTTTTTTTGTGCTAAAACTCTCTTTTTTAATCGGATCAAAATGGGAGTAAAGCGCAGTATCCGGTGTGGTAATAGGCGTATTTTGTCCAAATTTCATGGTTCTCGGACAATGCGTGCCGGTGTCGTGGCTTAATTCCCCTTTTCCCCCTTACGTAAGCCGTATCTGGACTTTTTTGCTAAAACTCTTTTTTTTAATCGGATCAAAATGGGAGTAAAGCGCAGTATCCAGTGTGGTAATAGGCGTATTGTGTCCAAATTTCATGGTTCTCGGACAATCCGTTCCGGTGTCGTGGCGAAATTCAACTTTTTTCCCCTTACGTAAGCCGTATCTGGACTTCAAAGAAAAAATGAGAATGGCAGCTGACCTGGAGCCGTGCCAAGAACAGACGACTTGAAGGAGTGTAGGTATCGCCTTGAAATTTTCAGGGCACCTAGGTAACTACGTGAAAAATTTGGTAGTCATGGTACCTTTGGTTCCAGCGTTGCGCATGCGCGAAGTCAAAAGCAGCTAAATACGTTATGAAGGGATTTTTGTTTACAAAATGGACCTATCTCTTCGAAACTTCGGCCTACCCCACCATTTCCGACCTCGGCGCATCCACAAATGGTCCCAAAATTAAAATCGAACACCTAGTTCCATCTCTATTTTTTGTTTTCTTTAAGTACCCCAGGGAAAAATGGCCACCGCTCGCCCCCCATGGGTCGGGCCCTAAACGTTCTGGTTGGAATTGTGCTTGGGACCTTAGGCCAGGTACCCGGTGACTTTCAAGTTGGTGTGCACGAAAGTAGTGATGTGACGCGCATGCGCGCGCGTACACTCGAAAACAACCCTGTCGGCACGGAAAACATCAAAGGCGAAATTCGAATTTTTGAAATATTTAAATACCAAACATTCGGCCATGAGCCAGGCTATCCTGAAATGTATTAATTTCGGTAATAGGAGACATATTCTTTAAGCCACGACCAATTGTGTATGTTTACAAGTCCGTTAATGTCGAATTTTCACTATTTTTCATATACAATTCAAAATGGTGACCATCAGTTGACCTAAATCAAAATTCTGTCTGGAACGATTTTTAGGCATTCCTTCAAGGATTCGGAAAATATAATTCCCTTGTCTGTAAGTAAATATCAAAAAAGCCTTAGCGATATTTCACATTTCAAGATGGTGGCACTTCCGGAATGGGCTACAAACTCCATTTTTTGTGAACGAATCAGAAGTGTCGTAGCTAGTACAGAAAAATAAATTCAAGGCAATCTGACCTTTAATCCTTTAATTCTCCAAGGGGAGATAAGTTAGGACATTTTTAATAGTATCGTTGAAGTTGGGTCAATGCGATCTACATACATTCCAAATTTCATGGAAATCGTACCAATATTAAAGAAGTTGTCAATTCTGTTTTACTTCCGGGACGAAATGTCATGGACGTAATTTTCGAAATTCGAAAATAGCAGATTTGAAGTAAATATTTCAAGGTACTCAAAGAAAAAAGAATTAGTAAAATAGGTCACATAGTCACAGAGTTATGGGTATGTAGGTCAATTTCTTCGTTCGTAAAATTCGGTGATTTCGGATTCGTAAAACGTTTTGAAAATATATTTAATCAAAAGTTGCCACCCATTTTTTGTGGGGTAGGTCAAAGTTTCAGACAGATCCTCCTATGGTTAGATTCTGAGAAATCCGATTTGCAGAAAGTAAAAAAAAAAAAATAATAATCTTAACAAAAACAAAAAGCTTTCATATGAAATCTTAATAATGATGATCAATCCACTAGGAAATGCACTTTGGAGTGGTAATGATAGTGACTAAACAACCACGTTTTCACTTTGCATTTAAAAACCGACACAGATTCACATTGTCGGATATTTTCTGGAAGTGTATACCAAACAATTGATGCACTGTATCGAAAAGTTCTGGATCCAAAAGATTTCAAATTATAGGCAGGTACGATCTTAATGATCGTTTAGGTTGATACAGTGATACTAGAATTTGAAGGTAACCTGGCGCGGATTTGTTTATCGTTTGATAGGTTAACGATAAGATTTTAAAGCTGATCGTTTTCGAACAAGGAGCCAATGTTATTTGTTCAAGACTAGGGTGATGTGTGATCTTGATTTTGATTTAGTTTTTTTTACAATGTAAGCAGCGCGGTTTTGTAATCTTTGGAGTTTCGAAATCTGTTCGTTCGTAATATCGGTAATGTATCTGTAAACTCAATTCATGTAGGTAATAATTCAAAGAAATACAAAACACAATTTTGATTTGCATCTTTTTATTTAAGTAACCATTCATCATTTTGATTTTCCGCTAAAATTTCCAATTTCTCACGGCTTCACCCACCCTAATATCTACTCAGCTTGATCCTTTAACATTGAACCAAGAACACAAATCAAATAACCAATCCTAGATAATCTTCCGGCTTGGATTAAACCAGATTCAAAATAGGCTTATCAATTCTGCTCTCCTATAACAAATGGCGATTGGCTTAACTTTGTAAATTCTGAAGAGAAATGAACCATTTTATTTCTTTATTTTTTTTGGTGGGGGGGGGGGGCTATTCCTATTAGCGATATATCTTTAACAAACTTGTAGTTTGCAAAGGATTCCAATAGTGCTTCCTAAAGGATTCCAATAGTGCTCCCTAAAGGATTCCAATAGTGCTCCCTAACGGATTCCAATAGTGCTTCCTAAAGTACTAAAATTACACAATGAGACTTAACCATTCTTAAACAGTCTTCGGGGTGACCATGATTTTAGATTCTCAACTGAAATCAATTTCGTATCTTGAGTAAAAGGTAGATTTGGGTATACTGCCTAAATTTACATCCGTAAATACTTGTCAACATTCGACGATCTATGGGGGGTATGGTCAACACGAACAAGCGCCACCTATGGTTTTTGATCATGTGACTATTTTGAATCCGATTGAACGATTTTCTACCATGGATATTTCGTGTCTGTTTATTTAACCACATAATCAACCTGGATACATATTAACCTGGATTCAGCTTTGAACAACAAAATGGAAATTGTCGGAAAAAATAAAATGGTGATCGGAGGTTATAAATTCAAGGTAGGTTACATTGGTGTGACATCTCTCTCACAAATAAACTTCCTTTTTATTCCGCAAGGGGTTTCGTCCATGCGTTGACCACTTTTGACATATCTCACACAATCCATAGTGTCTGAGTCCTCGGGTGCTGGGCCGATCCACACAACTGCTGTGCCATCAAGATGTTCAAATTCGTCCATGCCGGTTACATCTCTCGCCCCAATTATGAAATCATGAGCGCTGTCACCTTGTAAAGCAAGAGAACAAAACAACATATTATTAACCAATCAAAACTGTAGTGGTGGTTAAAATCTCGTCGAAACTAGTTGTTCGGTCATTTTGACACAAACACGGGTAATAGTAATATCTGTCTCTATGGAAACGTGAGCAATACGTGGCGGTGATGGTGGTTGTTTGTTGTCGGGATGGAGTGTCATCGCATCGTTCAGAAATATTTGAAGACTAAACACCCTCATTGACAAAGGGAAAAACGCCAGAAAATATGGATGAGCTTTCTCCGCCAATGTAGGGATCGAACACCCGGCCTCCAGGCTAGCGAGCCAGCGTCTTACCCACTTAGCCAACGTGATCCCTAAAGTGATATTTATACTTCGAAACCTCATAAATATCAAAGTCGACCATAAACCCTTGTTAAAGTTTTCTGCCAAATCCAATATTTTTCTTGAATTAACTCTCATAATAATTTATAAATTAAGAACAAGCGGTTGCCATTTTGAAAGAGGTCAACGGAGAACTGGGGAAATCAATAGGTCTCATCATTTCAATGTTCTAAATCGAATTTAAAACATTCTTCCTCCCATGACTTCAATGCTTCAAACCAAATTTAGAAAAAAAAATATGTTAAAGGATTTTTGGAAAAGGGCGTATAACTGCAAAAAGGGGGCTAGGCGGGGGGGGGGGGATAGACACAAAAAGCAAACTAATCTAAGATTTTCTGAACCTTAACATATATTTTAATATATTCCAACCTGGTATATGAAGTACATGCTTTGCTGCTATTTGCATAAAGGTGAAGGACCAATTTGGTGTCGATCCGATTTTCGACAAATTTTAACTCATCCGCGACTATGGTGTAACGAATATATATGTTACGGTCTTTTAAAATGAAAAATAATGAAACAACCAGATCTTTATGTTCCAAAATTGAAGCCGCCCGAGTTCTTTGGGATAGAAACATACATGCTAAGTTTCATCAAAATGGGATAAAACTGTGACCTCTAGAGTGTCTACAAGCTAAAACGCACTTTTTCGTACAGCCAGAGGTAATAATTCAGGAAGTTATGGGTCGATCATCGACATCGGATAATCCTGTAAAGTGGCCACAAACAAGCGTGAACTGACGCCCGGACAAACGGACGGACATGGGCGACGGCATATTACGTACACGTGAAAATGTGGGCGTATAAAAATCCTCCTGGCGTCCCTGCAGTCAATCGAAAACTACCGCCCAACCCAAATCCTCTTTCTTCTAAATGAAATAAAATATATTTACCGTCTACTTGTGTTTGTAGGAAATCACGTTTAGGTAAGGAGTCCAACTTAAGCAAAACACCGCCATCCTCTTCGCACAGTTTCTCTGCACCAAAGAAATTCACTAGGTGTTGAAAAATTTTGATACAGATGTTGGTGGCGGGATCATATACATAACCAAAACTTGCACACAGTTCAGCTGAAATCAACATTAAATGGTTTTAAAGAACGTTTATACGTTCTACACACTCACAATCAGAAAAACATTCAGTGCTATACGTAAGCTAAATTAACAAACAGATTCCTTTAGAAAACTTCATTTTTTAACAGATTGAAAAATATAATAATCTCAAACTATTGGTCACGATTAGTCTAAAAATTGTAAATGCATAACCACAAGGCTTTAGCTTTTAACTCCATCCGAACGTCTAGATTACCTACCTGGACATAGCTGAGTGTTACAACTTTGAGTTTCTGTAGGCATACCAACACAATCGCTACCTCCATTAGCTGGTGCAGGGTTGTCACAGTTACGAGTGCGTGTCCTCATACCAGTACCACATGACTGAGAACAAGGACCATACGGTGACCAGTGTCCCCAGTTACCATTCACTGTAAAAAAAATACATATCCTCATTTATCCCTTCGTCAACAGCCAAGTCACAAAGACCTTCAGATTCTACACAATATCAATTAATTAGAGTACATACCTTCACAGCATTTAGGGCAGAAGTTTTCTCCTTTTATTGCACAAGTATCAAATTCCATTGGCTTGAAATCACCATTAAAGGTCTTAACAATTTGATCTCCATTCTTGGTAACAATAAAAGCTACAAAATAAGCATATGTTTAAAGCTGTATGTATACAATAGAATCCAACTATTTTTTATGTTTAAAACTATATGTATAGAACAGTGTGACACTACGCGGACAGAGGTGACTACCATGGTCACGGACTCACAATAAAGGGCCTGTGACACTGCAGGTAGGGTTACGTCGTAACCATCCTTCGTCACGGCTGACACTATCCTGTATCTCGGCAACAAAAAGGAATTAGCTGCGACACTATCAATTTTCTTTGACTTCACGCTGTGGGATCAATTATTTCAATCAAGAATTAACTGACTCTGGAACACCGTTTTAGTCCGGTGGCTCAAAGGGGGGAATCGTCAGCCGAGCTGTGAATTTATGAGACCAAGTTTGTATTTTTGGGGGGGACAGAAATGGCTTGCTTCAAAACTGACCTGAAGAGTGGCTTCTCGTTATCTTTTTTGTTCAGTACCGATTTCGTCATTCAAAATATTAAATTATAATGATACTATTCAAGAGATATAGAAATGTAAATGCAGTAAATCAGAGACATGTTTAGATATTAGTTTATTCTTAGTCTTCATCAGAAGATTCAAAATTCTGTCTTACTGTATGACGTCATATGAGATGCGCATGCCAAGAACCATCATTAGCGTGTCAACCATCGAAGAGACAACACGTATTTTTCAGTCGCTCGATTTTACAGTGATTCGACTGGCTTATGACCTTTTCTGGTCAATTATTCCTGAAGTAGATTAGTTCAATTTGCTTAATAAAAGCTTTTTAGTCTTTTTAGACTATTTATCTGCCCAAAAATAAATTTTATCGGGTCTACCTAGTTGTGAGCCACGAGGCCAAGTTTAAGTTAACAAAATGGCGGACTCGAAGAAAAATGCCACTAGTAGTAGTACTAGCTTTGACCTGGCTAGTGTCCTCTTTGACAATAAAGATAAAGGAAGAAAACCTTCCAAAACGATTGAGGGCAGTTCTAAAATTAGTTCTAAGGCCATCGGTGCAGAATTCGCTTCTTCTAGCATGTCCAGTGATACCAGTCAAGTGACTGTAAAAAATCGGCAAAGTAATCAGTCGGCTTCGTCGTCACTGACGTCCGTGTCCTGTAAGAAGGATGATGAAATAATTTCGTCACAACTTGACAAAACTGCTAGGCTTAGTGCATCTAAGTCTCAATCTTTTGAAGAATTTAAAGCTGAAATGAATGACATGCATCGAAAATCGTTCGAAGAACTTCAACTTCTGATTGTAAATTATTTTGCGAGTTTACGACAACCAGAAACGTCCGATGTAAAAAAAATGACCTGTTGATGGCCGGAAGCGAGTCCATTCTTTATCAGTTTCTGACGATGAAACGTTCTTCGATTCTGATTCGGATATTCCTGCCACTCAAAAACGGTACAAAATTCCTAGAATTTCGAAGAAGGGGGAAAATGATATGAATATTGACCAACAAATTAACGATTTGCTGAATTATGAAGAAGAGGAAAATAAAAAATCCAAGTCGGACAACAATAACAATGCTGAGAATGAGATAGAATTAGAACTCGAAGTAGATGAAATCGATAAATTTGAAGATTCGTTAGAACAAAAATACTCTGTCAGTGATAAAGTGGGCAATGTATTGCCGGATAAAGTATCTGGGATAATTAAACAGCTGTTTAATTCAAAATTGTCAGATGAAAGATTAAAAGAAATTCTAGAAAAACATTTCAGACCTGCAAATTTAGAAATTCACCCCCCAGAAAGTCAACTCTAAAATTTGGAATCATCTAAAGAGAGATACTCCGTTTAAAGACATGGAATCTTTTATGCTGAATGAAAAACTCCTCAAATGCTCGTACGCCCTTATGGGGCTTGTGGATATTTTATTGAACTCAAGCAAAACTGAGCAGAAGGACAATACTAAACCCCAACTTTCAACTCAAATTAAAATTTGTATGGATGTATTGTCGTTGCTAGGTCACTCTGTACAGGAACACAATCAATCGAGACGTGATGCCATAAAGGTGGGTTTAAATTACAAATACTTAATACACAATGGTTACAAGTACCGAATAAAGTCAAGCAGACCAAATGCCGTCCATTAGAAATGTTCAACAAAAACATTTAAATTTGTTAAAATCAATACATTTTTATATGTGTTAATTATTTAATGTCGTTTAATAAAAGTTAAAATTGCTAAAATCAATACAGTTTTATTCTTAAAAAAGATATGGACTATAGTTTATAACACCATTATTCTAGGATTAACTCTGGATTAGCGGCTAAATTTGACATCAAAGACTGCCGGCAAAGTGGGAACACCCCTACAATAGAATCCAACTATTTTTATGTTCCGAACCTTGATGTTACCTGTGACAAATTGATTCAACTGATCATCGAAAAGGCAAAAGTCTCCCAGTTTAACATCATAGCAGATTGTCTGAATTGATGGCTTTTGATGTCGGGGAACATTTTTAGATATGAGTATGATCACTACTCAAATAAATCAATATATCAATAAATTGAAATTAATAATATTACCAACCTGTTTCCACGGCATCGCTGGGATAGCAACATTTATGGAATAGATATTTGGCGCTGCTACTAGCGAAGGTGATCAGGTTATCATCGAAAAGGCACAAACCCTTCTTTTTAACCTCCTGGCATTCGTTCCTAACCGGATACCGGTAATAGCGTTTAGAATCATCCCATATGGCTGTCACAGTGGTCACGAGGAGAACTAGTATTAGAGCCTGCATGATAAAATTTGTTGCTAATGGTGATGCCAAGAGTTGAACAGACGTCGACGAGTAGATGTAACTAATGTAGAAAAGATGTCTGTCTGCATATTTTATACCTTAATTATGTGACGTCACGTCTTTCAACCAATGCAATAACTATTTAAACAATATAAGTAAGTAATAGACTACAATATGTGCCGTTAGCAAATTAGAAAAAACCCCCAAATGAGTCAAAATTTGAATTGTGATATTGTATTATATTATCACCTCTATTGTCATATTTGATTTGTTAAGTAATAATAAAATAAAACCAAGTACGAACAATCCAAACCATTAGACAAAATTCGAAGTCCTAAAAAAAGCGGTATTGGTAAAATAGTGTATATCAGCAAAAGGACTGTTCACCGTGTACAAAATATAGTGGTAACCGGTGTCTCCGGAAGAGTAAGCTTACCCGTCTGGCGCCACGCCCGCCATAGCTTTTTTTTTTTTTAAAAAAACTACATCGTACATTTATATATACATAACTTTAATATAAACAGTATTACCAACTAAAAGGACACACACTAAACAGTAATTACCGCGCCGCACTAACTCACCACCGCCACCCACCCTATCAACCACAGAGAATAGGCAAAAAAAATACAGATAATCAATCTCGTCATACCCCACGGGAAGGGTAACGACATGATGTATTTTGTATTTTAGATTTCTTCGAGTTATAGTTCTTTTTTCCGTTCTGGCACGCTTTATTATTATTATTTTGTTGTCATCTATACAAAAGTGTGTGAAATTACATAGACATATACTCAAAACGTGCTGTTATTTGAAAGTCTACAGTGTAGTTCCTAATTGTAATCGACGGTTTAAACATTTTCAAGTTATAAATTGTTGTCAACAGCTGTTACGAAAACCAGACCACTTCGACGTGTGCACAGATAATGTATTATTATTCAAATCTATTATATGTTCAATAGATTCTCGGTATCTTAGTTTTTGCATAGAGAGGCTAATATAACTATCTTGGCATTTACAGCACATGATAAAATACTTGGTAAATAGAGTTAAAAAATCAACGGAGTTCGTATGTCCTTTAATATTGCTATCCTGTAATATTACATATTTAAAATCTAGTTTAAAGTCGACACTAATTGTTCTTTTATTGTATTTGATATCTCTTCCCATATAGGGTTAACTATTCTACACTTACAGATAGTGTTCAATTGTGTCTAACTCATTACATTGTGGGGATCCACGATGGCTAGGTTGGTTAAGACGCTGGCTCGCTAGCTGGAGGACGCGGGTTCGATCCCTGCATTGGCCGAGAAAGTTCATCGGGATTTTCCGACGTGGTTTCCCCTTGTCAGTGGTGCAGAACGGGGGACCTGACAAGAACAGCTGTCTAGTCCTTCGGATGATACAAAAAACCGAGGTCCCGTGTATATATTGGAATGCACGTAAAAGATCCCCTGGCAGTTGGAATTCGATATAAGAGTAGGCGATAGTGCTGCTGCCCGGGCAAAATTTCCCTCATAGCACACTGTATGGCGAATGCCCGTCTTCATTAGACCAGTAAAGGAGCAGAACAGTGGGACGTTAAACACCATTTCATTTCATTTCATTTCATTACAGTGTACACAAAAGGGCGATTTAGAAAGTCCTATTTTGTATAAGTACGAGTGTGTTGGTAGTAATGTAGTCGAATTTTTGGATCTATACCTATTTTACGTAAGTGTATAAAAGGGTTGAAATTATCTTTTATTTTGATTTCTCTCCATTTTGTCCTTGGGAGGTCAATGTTTTTGTATTCTTTCAACTGATCATATGCATATTTTTTTTTTATTTATTGACATTATTTTATCGAATGTTGTTGTTTTAATCTGTGTACAATATAGTTTTTTGATACTACATATTAAACCGTGATATGTAAGAACAATAACGTTAATATTATACCGTTTTCGAAACGAATCGAAATTTCAAAAATTTCCACTGCATACCATTTCTTATAAAAGATAATTTGGTTATTTATCTTTATGTTAGAGTTATACCATATAACAGAGTTTTATGGCATAAAGGAAAGAAATTAATATATGCCCAAGATGTAAGGGTTATCTACTGAGACAGAGGGGTTCAAGTTAGATGAACACCCGAGCTCGTGCAAGGTTGTACACTGAGAACGCGTTAGTGTTCGAAGTGTTCAATTGCGCGAGCTCGGGTGTTCATCTAACTTGACCCCGAGGGTCGAAGGTCGATAACTCACTTACACACTGGATTCTTTGTTTTTGTAAGAAGATGAATGAGTGAATGAAAATGGACGGATACGAGAGAGACGAAAATCAAAGGCCCTTTATCAGACAAAATAATTTTACCAATTCGTCTATAACAGGTATCAATATATTATTTTGACTGTCACGTATTGTCGTTTATTCAGCAGATTGAGGGGGGGGGGGCATAACCTGAATATAGCCAGTGTATACCTGTTTATTTACGATGCATACAAATCAGATCATTCCAATGTCAGGTTTTTTAAATACAACTTTAAGGAATTTGGATTGGTATATGGATAAATGTATTTTAAGCCTATTTGCTGATTTCAGGTTTTCGGCACTTTTTATACGTCAACATATCGTATATTTATGTCGCTCCCGTCCGGTGTCCACGCCCTGGAGGCTGAACAATTATGGTCATGAGACGATGAATCCTACTGATTTTCAATGATTTCCGATAATGACTTTCAGATTTGTGGCCCTTGATATTTAATGTTTTGAGTACTCAACGTCAGTATAGGGCAGAATTAGAAGCCAAACAAGTATGACAATTACTTAATGGGTTGTTATTCGTACTTATATTTTAATGTGTTGTAATTGTTTTCCTTACCGACAAGGGGGGTTCGATGGCCGAATGGTTAGCGCGTGCGCGTTGTATCATAACGTCTGTCATTGAGTCAACTGACGTGGTTTCGATTCCCCGGTAGTACGTGACAAGGTGTAGGGTAGCCTGTCCAACCTCGTGGGTTTTCTCGGGGTCCTCCCACTGCTAAAGACCCCTACGCCCAAACGAATTATTGAAATAAAATTGAACCATATAAGACCCGAAATTACCTCTTTTGTGTCGAGTGGACGTTAAACCCCATTTCTCTCTCATTCCCCACAAAAGAAAAAATATGCGACACCCTTATTGACTGCCCGGGCTTCGATTCCCCGGTAGTACGTGACAAGGTGTAGGGTAGCCTGTCCAACCTCGTGGGTTTTCTCGGGGTCCTCCCACTGCTAAAGACCCCTACGCCCAAACGAATTATTGAAATAAAATTGAACCATATAAGTCCCGAAATTACCTCTTTTGTGTCGAGTGAACGTTAAACCCCTTTTCTCTCTCATTCCCCACAAAAGAAAAAATATGCGACACCCTTATTGACTGCCCGGGCGACTTAGCTGCTGTGGGCGTATGTTTCGTTGTCTGGCAACCTATCTTTAAAATCCACAACAGGCCAATGAATAATATAATAATTATTTGGTGTGAATGGGGTATGCTGCATTGACTTGAATACTTTTTTCATTCACGATTTGTCAGCCACAGAACAAAATAACCATGTACGAAAAAAATAGCATGTGCGATGATGTAGGAAAGGTATTTTACAAGATTACAAATTATCTAAAATATGCCCAAACAGAAATTTATCCCAGTTCGCTAGGTTTTGTGTATTTGTTCCTTATACTATTGGATACGTTTTCTAGCTAACGATACTATTTCACAATCTACATTGAAAAAATATTTATTCATTGTTTTAACTGGATGCATTTATATTTTGTAACTAACACGGTGTTTCTTGTTATTTATAATACAGTGCACGCACGAAAATGCATGGTCTGTTTTGACAATCACCGGGTTAGTATGTTGGGGTGTTCCTTTATATGAACACCTACTTTTCCTCAAATGGTGCACATTAAAACAACACATTACAGGTTGATCAGTAACTTGAACTACCCGAGTCCGAACAAAGGGTCCAGTGTGTAAGTTAAAATATCGCGTATGAACATGTTGTTAATTTTTATATAGGCAACATCTTTCGGGCTTAAAATGAATTCAAAGGTGTTGATTAATTTTGATTAAATGTATCCAAGATTGAGTTCTTCTAGATTTGCTTAGTATTATTTTGGATGGCTCTTTTCACGCAATTAATCTTTATTGATTTAGCGAAAAGTGAAAGTAAAAATATCCGGTGCATTTAAACCACCCGGATCGAAAGGGCTTTACATTTGTTCTTTTTTTAATTTTGTTTGGCGTTTCGTCCCTATGAAGTTAAAAATGAATTGATCTATTTCCTTAAGAATTTCCGCTCTTGGTATTGGCAACATAAATAGTTGGTAAATCATTTTCGGTAGAATTATTGATTTTAAAATTACAATTCGGCCACTCAGTGTGTTGGATTTACCCTTAAACGTTTTCAGGGTATGTTTCATGTTTTCTATCTTATTTTCATAGTTATACTTATATTTGTCGTCTAGTTTGTTATTTAAAGGAATAGCAATCCCCAGGATACATATATTTCTGATATTGTTTTTAACTGTGTAGTTTAAACCCGAATGTCTAAGAGCGTCGAGAGGAGCAATTTCACATTTATCGCAATTTGCTTTTAATCCACTCGCTATTCTAAATTCTTCCATAATACTTAATACTTTATTTCCCATCTAAAAATAGTGTTGTATCGTCTGTGAGATTGTGAGATTTTTATATTATTTTTGTTTACGTTAATTCCTGCTATTGATGGCTCGTTTGTAATTACTTATGAAAATATTTCAGCGCATAAAATAAATAGAAAATGAAATGAAATGGAGTTTAACGTCCTACTGTTCTGCTCCTAATCTGGGCTAATGAAGACGGGCATACGCCATACAGTGTACTATGAGGGAAATTTTGCCCGGACAGCGGCACTACGGCCTACTCTTATATCGAATTCCAACTGCCAAGGGATCTTTTACGTGCACGCCAATGTGTACACGGGACCTCGGTTTTTCGTCCCATCCGAACGACTAGACAGCTTTCCTTGTCAGCCCCTCCGTCCTGCATC